TATATACAGTATCTAATTTGAGATTAATAGGGATTTAAGACTTCCTGCCCCTCTCATAGTCAATGGTTATAACTCCATTAGACAGTGCCAAAAGTTGTTTACTAATACCTCTACTTGGCAATGATCTTTACAAGCTTCATGTAGACATTGATATCATCAATGGTATCAAAAAGTGGATAAATATGAATGTATTGTGTGATAAAACACTGGTATAGAACCCAGGGCTTAATCCATGACCCATAGCTAACTAATTTGTTGGGTATGCTCTGGAGATAGACGTACTGAAGTAAACCTATACTGTTTGGATACTAAGATTGCTATTATTGACCATGTTATTTTAAGAAAGGGTGACACCAATGGCAGCGTCCATACTTCCTCAGTTTAGGTTTATATTATTGATTTTATATAAATAATGAATTTACACTGAAGTTCACCCCCAGGCAAAAGCAAAAGCCCCTCCTAACCATCCCCCAACTTGAACAAGTTTTTTCTACAAACCTTCAGGACCACCAGCACCCCAACACCCCTCCTCCTTGTATACCTCCTATGCTTCCTGCTGTCACTTAGCATTCCACATGCTGGAGAAAGACAGGTTCTGGAGGCTGGCATTTGTCTTTCTAGGCAAATGAATGGCGACTGAGGACCTGACATTACAAAGTGTCACAGGCAACAAAAAATGGTGTAAACAGAGTGTTAGGCAAAGCTGGCATGAAGATGATGGGCATAAAGGTGATTTGGAAAAGTTTCTTCCATTTCCAAAGCAGTGGAGACTCACTAGGTGCTCAAATCACGATGAAGATGACAGCCAGGGGCCCTACATGATAGATACTAGATAGATAGATAGATAGATAGATAGATAGATAGATAAACTAGGTGCTCAAATCACGATGAAGATGACAGCCTGGGGGATAACATGTAGATAGATAGATAGATAGATAGATAGATAGATAGATAGATAGATAGATAGATAGATGGATGTGTTTTTTTTTAATGTATTGTTTCATCATGAAACTCTAAGCACTATAGCTACGTAGTTACTATATTAAACATTTTTGCTTGGAAAAATAACCATTGTTTAAACATTACTATGGCGATTCCCATGGGATATTTGAACTAGAGCTCCTGTGAGAACAGACATACACAGACAAGCTAGAAAAGGCGGGGTGTATCAAAAGGATTTTTAATTAAATATAAGCCAGTTTCAAGGCCATGGAAAGGACACAGAAGTCTGTGAGCACAAAACACAGAAATATATGCTATAATCCATGGTCACCTAGCCATTTATTACCCAGGTGGACAAGCTTTGGTCATTTTGTTCCAAGTTTCAAACATTTGGACATATTGCATTGATATGTTTAAAGTATAAATTACAGAAAAAAAGAATGTGTTAATAGCACTACAACAGGTAGGAGGGAAAATGGCTAGGTCAAAGCAAAACAGAATAAATGATGTATGCCTAGAACATTAGGTATTCATGTTTTACACTGAACATTACATAATCAAGACTGTTGTTAAAATATTTTATGACTCTGCCACAGAAAACGGAAAGGAAATAACATTAATTATTTATTAGCTTCTGCATGTGGACAAGAATAGTTTTTTGTTTTTTTTTTACAATTGTCTTTAACATTTTTGTATATTATATTTTAATAGAGCTATACCAAGAAAACAAAGAATACAACATGAGGAATAACAATTGTCAATGCAACTGAAATGTTCACCTTGCAAAGTGAATGTTAATAAATAAGTTGACTCTGAAAACAAACTTACCTTATTTTTTAGCAAAGTGAATATGCACATTTAACATTAACAATCGGGTAAAGCTGTATTTACTTTTCATACACAAGTTTTGTAACAAAAGACTTTTTTTTTTATTCCTTAACACACGTTGGGTATTTAAAGTGAGCACAGGTTTAGCTTGTTTTTTTTAACATTCACTTTTTATACATTTCCAAAGTTAACATTCACTTGGCTAGGTGAACAGCCTCTATTTCTTTTCAACAGCAGTATATAATATTAATAAAAACCAATGAATGGAAATGTACAGTCAATACCTTCATCCCTTTAATATTCTGTACATTTTTATTGGAATATTAAATAGTTTTTTTCACTTGAATTTATAATAAAAATGCCTCTAACAACATAATTGTATATGTAGTGTGTATAAAGTACATACAGTACATATACATATAAATGTACATGTAATGCATGAAGCAAGTAGTACCATTAGGAAGATCATATTAACATTATTTTCAATGTATTTCATTGTAGTGTGTTAGTTCATCGAGCATGATGTAGTGTCTAAGACTTCATAGTTATATATCTATTGCAGTTTAATACATTTCTTTGTCTCTGTCTTATTCCCTCTCTTTTTTTCCTGTAAAAGTCTAAATTAAGCACAGCACAAGTCATCTATGCAGGTACTATAGGTATATTATTTACTATGCCCAAGTACTAGGTTTTAAATAGTGAAAATAAGGGTAATGCTGTATATCAAGCACCAAAGGATGCCTGCTTTGAACTTTTTCAATGTTGCCCACAACCCCAAACCACTGATGGAGCCCCAGGATTTCCAGATGTGGGCCATGTTTATGCACATTCTTCCCTGCCTACCACAATCTAGAGCTCTTTGCTTCAGCTAGCAAGTGCCAGAGCAAAGTGGTGTCAAGGGGTGACAGTTGTACATGCTCAGCTTTATGCAAATACCAACTTTCGGAGGACATGAACTGAGGTGTGGGTAGCAAAAAAGTAGAAACAGGCACCTTATGGTGCCTAGTACGCAACGCTTACATTAGTTAGCTGATCACTAGTACATATTTACTCTAGCTTTAGATTTTATTATATAAATATATAACTTCAGCCATATTGAAAGATTTCTTCCAGAACCTGCAATTGAATAATAGATATAGGAAGGATACAAAAGGCAGTCCTCTGAGCAATCATATAACTGTGTACAGTTTTTATGTTTCTTCGATATTAGCGCTGTGTGTTTTCAGGGTTAAAAAGCAAAGACACTGCTGTAAGATTTTCAGTTATCATATGTTCTAGTTGTCTCCCAATGGTACTGTGACCTCAACTGTTTTATGTTCTGCTTATAATTGTTTCTCAGGGCTCAGTACATTTTGTTTTATTCCATTTCTTTGCTTGGTATCCAAATCATTTTTAGGATTCTAATTAGTTTTTAAACTCAGTAAACTTTAATGCTGTCAGACATAAAGACGACTCCAGAGAAGTTTCCCGAACTGTTCTTTGGTGTTTCTGTTCATAAAATTATGTCCTGGTAAATCATACTACCATGTTCAAGTGTCGTCTAAAAATAACAAAAGAAAACTCAATCTTGGTTTAGTCAGTGTACACTGAGCATTCTAAAAAGCAACTGCACTACCATGCACCAATCATATAAGAAAAACAGAAGTGTTTCATCACTGATGGGCATTACAACTATTGGTCCTGTACAATTAACCAAATTCACCCAGTGGGAGGGTATACACGGATGTTAGTTTGTTTGATACTAGATCTGCTTTAAAGCACATCTAAACTAAAAAAAACAACAAATGAGTTATACTGCAGCTTACTAGTCCTTAGATGTGGTGGCTGCAAAAATGTTCTTTATTCAGGCTTTTCCCTTAATTTTTATCCGGTAATACTGAAAATAACACACTTCCTTCCTGTCTACACTCGTCTTTGGAAGGAGCCATGGTTGTCACACAGACTGAACTTCAAAAGTGTCTGCCTTAGTACATCTCTATTATATGGTGGATTGATGGCATTAGTAGTTTACAAATAAGAGATTATTTTCAGCTCACAAGAAGTGACAAGGACGTGACATGTTTGGCAAGATCAAAATGTATTTTCTGTACTTGCTGCAAATGTTCTCAGTCTGAATAAAGGAGACCTTGGCAGCCGTCACATTAAAGGTCTGGTGGCTGCATATATTACATTTTGGGTTTTGGGTTTAGAGACACTTTAAGGCATCCATTACATTTACAGAGCTGCTGAAAAAAAGCTTTTGAATGGCAGAATGATGAAGAAATCTGTGCTTTTACAGTTGCTCAAAGATTGGTTGGCTGCACATCTCCAATTCACACTTCTACAGGACCAATTGCAGCTGTGGCCTAGATGGAGATGGCTCTCCTGCAGGCTGTAGTAAGGAGGGTCTCTATCAAAAACTGGCCATCCCAAAAACATAGCCCATTCCCAGTCATCGTTGGTAGCATATTATCTACCTAGGCGACATCTACAAGAAACAGTCAGTAATACAGAAGTGAAGCTCCTGACATTTATTAAAACATGCTAGTTGGCTTGTTTTATTATACGTGTGATCAAAGTTCTTACTGGCTTTCAGATATGTGTAATAAATAAAACTTTAGGGCCATTTTTGAATATGCATGTGTGTAGAGGTGCATTTTTGTAAAGGGAGGCAGATGCATTGTAATGCATCCATGGGTTTCCTAATTACCTTTGTCTGGTAACACACATTTTGGTGTACATTGACATGTGCTCCCAGTGTATTTTTAAAATTAGTATTTGAAGTGGATAGAGTTATCAGTCATGGACCACATTTTTTTAATACCCGTTGCTAACTCATCCAATTGCATCAAAACACGTAACATGCATTTTGATGCTTTACCATTGAATTCTATAGGCCCCCAAAAGCCCTAAAACACAGAAAAAACTTGATTTAAAAAAAAAATTTGCTGTGCTGCACCGCTGAGATGGAAACAGAAACTATATTATGGGGAACTACAACACAGGCATTTTAGCACGTCAGAACATGTTCATGTAAATGGACCCTGAATTACAAAAAAAAAATAAGGTGGTCTTAATTTGTTCCATTCTCAGGTGCACTGGATTACTAAAAAAATCAATAACTGTTTTGTTTTTTTTATGACTTCTTGTTTTATTTTTCAGAAACTTTATTTGTAATATTATACAGTATATCTATTTACCTATAGAATTTTGAATTTAGGAATTATCTAGATGTGATTGCAAAGATAGCTATGATATCTCTGAATCAAACTACATTCATACTTGTTGGGTTCACATTTAGCCCTTGGGTTGAAAATCTTGTGCTTTTACTTTTTATACTACTTTATATTATATCTCTAACTGGAAACCTGTTGATCATTGCAGCCATCTGGCTGGACAGACGTCTCCATGTTCCCATGTACTTCTTCCTCACCAGTCTGGCCTTCTTGGACATTTGGTTTATATCATCCACAGTTCCCAAATTGCTCACTATCTTGGCTTCCAATAACAGAATAATTTCTTTACCTGGATGCTTTCTACAGCTTTATTTTTATGTTTCTCTTGGAACTATAGAATTCTATCTTTTAGCGGTCATGTCAGTAGATCGGTATGTGGCAATCTGTCACCCACTGAGGTATCATTCCATCATCTCTCTCAGGGTTTGTCTTTGGTTGGTTTTAGTGTCATGGATATTTGGCTTTCTTACTTTCATCTACCCCACAGTTCTACTGTTTGGTCTGAATTTTTGTGGACCATATGAAATCAATCATTTTTTCTGTGACAGTTCAGCAGTGGTGGAGATCAGTTGCTCAGATATAAAACAGTTTGATATGGTCTTTGCCAGTTTTGCTTCAGCTGTAATTATGGGCTCGTTCATCCTTACTTTGATTTCCTACTGCAATATTCTTATTACTGTCCTAATGATACCTTCAGCCAGTGGGAAAATCAAAGCCTTCTCCACTTGTACTTCTCATTTCACAGTGGTATCATTAGTCTATGGTAGTGCCATCTTTATATATGTACGTCCAGTGGAAAGTTCATCTCCTGACCTTAATAAAATTGTGGCGCTTCTTAATAGTGTTCTGACACCAGTACTTAATCCATTCATATACAGCCTGAGGAACAAGCAGGTCCAACAAGTTTTCAGGGATTTGGAGACAAGGCTGGTTTTGAGAAAAGTAAATTAAGTTTTGTGAAGCTACAAATAAAAGTATAATTTGTTTTGTATGCCATTACCTAAAGTCCAGTTAAAAGGCTGCCCATTTCTTATAAGAAACTTTATCATGAAAGCTGAACTCCAGGTAGATATTTCTAAAACTCTAATGAATGCACTTATAAATGTATAAATGTGTTTTAAGTGTAACTAGTACATACATACCTGATTTTAGCTTGATTATAGCCTTCTGTAATCCCCTGTATAGCTGTGTTTAGACTAGAAAAAGGGAGAGGCAGAATTAGTTGCCATTCAGGTGTTTGCTGCATTTACATGCGCTGAAAAGGAACAGGCTGGTAGGAGGAGAGTGAAAAAAGATGACTTCATCAGTCTGTGGCTTCTTCTCTACTTTCCAGTCAATGGCTGGGGGCAGGAAGGGAACCTAGCTCTGTTACTTAAAGCATAACTAAAGGTTTTACAATTTCTAGCAGGTAGGCCTTTATTGTAAAAGAGACTCTGTATGTCTCTTATGCAATAAAAGTTCCCTTTCTGCCTTCCAGAAATGGTCTTTTAGTTGTACACGGAGCAACGCATGTGCAGCTCAGTGTGCAATATCGGCAAGCCTGGGCCCTGGGGCAAGGAAACATCTGTGCATATGCGTTTGAGTTGCACCCTGGGCTGACCAAGGAAGAAGGCTGAAGACTCCAGACTCAGAAGAAGACTGTGAGGCGATATCAGAGGTGGCAACAAAGCAATGAGGAAGAGTGTTGACATTGCATCACTGGAGTAGGGCACATTGAGGTTAAGTGTGCCATAATGTGCAAATATCTTGTCTACAGTTGCACAATATGGCATCAGCCCTCACAGCCAAAAGTATTTAGTTGCACTTTAATGGAAGTAGAACAAGTGAGGCCACCAGGCTGGCTGTGCAGTCTGGTAGCGCAGTGCAAATATCAGGCATGGATGGACAGAGACACAAACCCTTTGGCAGTTAATATTGCTTCTATATATGTATTTTAAATGTGCACTTAGCTAATTGCCAGCATGTCAGCTTTAATTGATTATGCCAGTTTTTTTTATAGTAAACGATTTGAAGTGTATATTACAGCTTTGGTAGTTGTAAAAAATGGTAGAAAATGTTGGTATCAATTAACCATTCCCATCCCCCATCCCTATTATAAGCTAAAGTAGAAGCTTTAGCTTGTAATTATTTTGAACCTTGTATTACTTTGTAAAATTGATAACACTCTTATGTGAAGATGATGTTTTATAACCGGACTTTGTTTTAGTCTTGCTGGTTTTACGCTTGTTACTGTTTCACAAATACATGTGACTTTAGCACTGATTCTTGTTTATATTATATCTGTTTTAGGGAACTTAGTGACCATCTCTGTCATATGTTCAGTCCCAGATCCACAAACAGCTTTATATATTTTTATTAAGAGGTTGTCAACCTTGGACATATTCCACAAAACATATATGATATTGCACCACTGGGTATATGGAAACAAATGCGTGACCAATTAATATTATGCTCAAATATGCATAAAGCATTGTAATGAAAGCATTAGATGTGGAAACCTCAGAATGTGAAAACACATATTCCATTATATTATTCTTAGTGGATGCCTTTTACAATTATACATATATGTCTCAGTTGGTGGTACATTTGTAGCCCCCATCACCTTTTGTGAGGTGGCTACTAGACATTTAGCGATTGCCAGTGCTGGAGTCAGTCTGGCTGGATTATAGTGGCATTTATCTGGTTAATTCCAGGTATCTGGCATTGACTGTGCCTACTGAGGTACCTGGTTGAGGTGTGACTCTGCTGTGTTGTGGGACAGCCAATGAGGGACACTGTAGTATATGTCCAGTACAGCAGCCAATCACTTGGTTCCTCTCAACCAGTGGTGCATGCTGGGATAGGGTACATATACTGGAGGGATTGCCATGTGCTCAGACTAGTTCGGGACCAGCCATGGATTAGCATAGGACTGGGTGCTGTCCAGCCACCCCCCAAGCTAGGCCTGGGGTTGGCAGAGGCTGGGGTGCGGGAAGTGTTTCCTTGGGCCTCAATTTTGGAGGAGGCCTGTGTTGTTGCCAGAGGAGGAAAACCAGTAAAGTGGATGGCTACTGAAGTTACTCAGGAGCATGGCTGGTGTCTCTCCTGCTGATGATCTGTACTCATCTCCTGCTCATCTGTTACTCTACTATTCACTGTACCACAAGTGGATCTCCACTGAGATGCTAAAAACGTCTGGTGAGTCTGGAGTCTGTTACACCCTGGATGTCTAGGATCCCTATACCCCTCTCCCTAGTATGAAGATGTTAATAAAAGTTATTCAGCATTGCATTACTGGAGTGGATATCAGCTTTGTGGGCACTAGAAGAGGGCGGTTAAATGCTAATGGGGAAGCTGAAGACCAAAACCCCTAGACAACTAGTGATGACCCGGGTTATTCCAGTGGCTCCTTCGGGGGTGAGCGACACACATTGTTCTACATTCTGGGACTGTTGTTCTCTGACAGAATACATAGATGTCTGCCATCCTTTATGATACAGCACAATTATGACCCATCAGCTTTGCTGGAGGTCAGTTATTTTATCATGGACATTTGGATTTTTGGTATTCATACCATCTATTGTCCTCATGTCTCAGTTACAGTGGTGCAAAGCTCATGAGGTTATCTTCTGTGATGGCTCGGCACTTTGGCATTTATCCTGCTCTGATACTCATGTAGCAGTGACTAAAGGGTCTATTCACTAAGCTATGATACTCATGTAGCAGTGACTAAAGGGTCTATTCACTAAGGATCTAGCCGTAGCTTCGGCCGATCCTTCCGCTAGCTTCGGCCCCAGGACACCTTCGGTTCAGTACGGCTATTCACTATAGCCCGTACAGCTCCCGAACGTGGCCGAGCGGCTCAGTCGAGCCGAACGCATATGCATCAGCTCGGAACTAACTATTTTTCTGTTCTGCTCGGCCCCTCTGAGTGACCGAGCAGAACAGCCGAGCCAAATTCCGCTCAGCAGCATTCGGCTATTCACTCACTGCCGTTCGGCATCTATAAGAATAGGCCGAACAGCAGTGAGTAGCCAGATGTTGGATCGGTTGAGTCGAACTCCTTCTGCACTTCGGGTCAGTCGAACATGCTGAGCATGTTGGCCGACCCGAAGCCATGCGAAGCAAGCCGATGTACAGCTGATTTCAGCCGATATACGGCTGAAATCAGCCGTACAAGCCTGAAGTGAATAGCCGAACAGTGTTCGGCTCACTTCACTTGGGGTCGGTTGTTCACTCGGCTGCCCTCGGCAGCTTAGTGAATAGACCCCTATGTCTTTTTTTTTGTTTACTTTGCAGTTGTAGGGTCAATGATACCCACAGCATTTCCCTATTTTTTTATCCTGTCACTTTTTTCAGCATCTCATCATCCAGTGGCAGCAATTCTGCAATTGCTACTCATATTTCGTTGCTGTAGTGATTGCTTATGAAAGATGTGTATTTATTTATGTCCTCCCTAAAGAAACTATTACTAATAGATCTGCAAAGAGTGTATCTATTTTTAATAGCATTTAAGTTTCATGTTTACATTAATTAATCTATTTATTAAGAAATCAAGCAGTTAAGACCCAGGTGTAGGATAAACAAGAAAATTATGTTGTGCTACTAAATCAGTGTATAACAACCATGTTAGAGCTAGGATACCAAACATCATAAAACAATATGTTCAGTCTGATTAATTATTGTAATGTTATTTGGATTTGTCCTCTCTACACTGTATTACTATTGTAACACTTTAGGCTTGTTTACCTACTGTTCTTTTTATATGTTTGCTATTGTAGTGTTTTCCTGAGAATTAAAAAACACATCAAGAAGTATATAGGTGAAAGTGGTAAATTACACAGATCTCTTATTGCATTCGGATGAATGAACTTTATTACTGCAACTATAAATTGGAACAGCGATTAAGGAGAGACAGCTGGATGCACATGCACTGACTAAAGCAATCAAGCAGTGAGGTATACTCAAACATCATACTATAAAGTATGAGTATTCTATAAATTCTATGAAGAATCTTTCTGGTCTGTGTAACAACCAAAAGGATCTCCTACCCCTGCAGAACTTCTGTAAACAATAATAAAACCTGATATTTACCATCTTTTACTATAATGGTACTCACAGAAGGAGACCATGTACAATAAAAGATTTTAGCCGTTTTGTGTAGAGCCCTTTTAGGAAAGGTTCCACTCTGGTCATTGCCCTGATGAGTGTTTTGTCGCTCACGTTGCCTAGATCAGGGATATATAGAGGAATGGTGGGTGCAGCAAATGTTCAATGGCATGGGAGACAGATGGAGGGTGGAGGAACACTACTGGAGAGAAATAAAATCACAGCACAATGTGAGTGATTTGGGGACCTCCCTTGAGGGCAGAGGGGGATTGCTGGACTATGCATAAAGCACTAGCTTTCTTTATGAAGGACTGTTTAATGTTGGCTTAAGGTATATATCCCTGTTAGCAAGTATTGTTTCTGTAAAAAGCAAGAGCAACCAGGTGTAACTCTTTCTTCCATCTTATGGGGGCTGAAGGTGAGCTGAGAACCACACGACCTGTGGCTAAAATTGTAATGGCTATCCCCTGTGTCAAGAGTTGTAAGTTGTGCTGGTTGGGTTGGCTTCTGACTCCATCTCCCAATGTCTGATAGGAACAGCTTAGGACAAGTGGTCCTGGTATTTGAGGTATTGACTAGGGAAGGTAGAACCTTTAGTTGCATCTAGAAGAGAAAAACTTTTAGCAAGTAAGGGACTGGGTGGCCTGGTTTGGCCAGGATAAGCTCTGTAATCTTTAGATGGGGATTGGTTGTAAGGCCCTGAGTAAAGGCACAGACTATTTAGTAATAGAATGAGTTGGAGAAGACTCCAGTTGTATTAGTCCATGGCGTTAGAGTGCCCTTTGAGTACCTGATAATTCAGCTCCAAGTTTCAGAAAGCTGCAATCCCTTGTTTATCTATTAGCTAACTGTGCTTTACATTGTATGCTACCCTCTCCTCTACTCTGTACACTGTGCTGTACACTGTACTGCATGTCACTCACTCTTTACACTGTGGTGTATAGTCCTTAGTGCACACCACTCCAAGTAACACTATGCTGTAAAGTAAATACTGTGCCACTCACAATAACAAGACAAAGGCAAAAGGGTCATAGTGTTTATTCACGTGGCCCCAAGAGACTTCCAGACCTCACCCCTGCTTATATATAAACATTTTAGTTAGGGTCCTTTTTGGGATTCTAAGTTGATATTGCTGAGGCTGATTTTTCTGCACTCTCGTTTTTTTCTAATTGCAGGTGAGACTTTGGTTGCTGAGCTGAATCTCAAAGAAGCAAAGCTGTTGCTGAAGAAAATCTCAACTTTATTCACCTGTCATTGGCCTTTTATTGTCGGCAGGAAGATAAACAAACCAATGATCAGACTTCAAAGACTTTATATTTCTTTGACAGCTGTTTTTTTCCTTGCATTTTTTCTGTTAGCAAATCAGAGAGCACCCCACCTTTCCTCCCCTAAGTTAGTTGTGGCACTCTTTATGAAGCTAATGTCTCCCACATGATGGGTGGACAAGGTGTTAAGTGGACTTTGCAGTTGTTTTTATAAATAGTGATAGGGCTTGAGCTAAGGCTTTGGTATAGGTGCCTAAACTGTTAAAATGATAAATGTATTTATATTTTGAATTGATCTATCTAATCATTTTAAGTACCGTTTTTTGTGCTCCATAAGGCGCACCGGACCATAGGACGCAAGGAGGTTCTGTGACAGAAGCTGTGACAGAAGCTGCAGTTAGTGACCCCTGAGACAGGTGGCGCTGTGATTACAGCGCCACGGTCTTAGTGATCACACAGAGCAGACAAAGAACGGGCTCTATGGTGAGCTCCTATGCCATCGTCACGGGTCCCCCAGAGGAGCGGGGGACCCCGAAAACCATGGCAGGGGGGGCCCGGACTCGATCGCTGCTCGATTTTAATACAAGTGATCTGATTAGATCACTTGTATTAAACAAGCAGCGGCTCCCACTGTACATTTAGCTCTGCTTTAGCAGGGCTAAATGTACAAAAAAACTACTCGCCCAGCACACAAAACTGCATGTTTCGGGCGTCGGGCGATAGGGATTCGCTCCATAAGACGCGCACACATTTTCCCCCTCCTTTTGGGGGGAAAAAAGTGCGTCTTATGGAGCAAAAAATACGGTATGTTAAATAAAAATTTGCAGCAAATAAAAGGCAATTTTACCATGGTTATTCACAAAAGGGTGAAGAGTTTGGAGAAGGCAGGAGAAGTGAACCATCTAGGACAACATAGCTGAACTGGAAAGTGAGCTGAATTGGAGAATTTTTCCAAATCAACTATGTTGTCCTAGATTGTTGACTTCTCCTGCCTTCTACAAACTCTTCACCCTTTTGTGAATAACTCTGTAAGTGTTTGTATCTATTATTTTAATGCTGTTCTTTTAATGTTTGGTGTAATGGGATGTGGCCTGTGCTGCCCCATGCATTTGTTGTCACTGATATTTCTGTGCTAAAAACAGCTACACTTTCACTAGTGCATTATTAGAACTCTTCATTTACCATTAACATATAAGTGTAGTAAAACTAATCTTCTAAAAATGCTAGTTGCCTGGCCATGATGTCATTCCACTAGCTTCAACACTTTCTGAGTCACTGACCCAGAATAACTATGCAGATCAAGAAAGTCCAAGAAAAGTCAGACATTCTTACCTGCGTGCTGGTTCTGGATCCGAGACTTAAAGCAATGAAGTTAGAAAAAACATGACAACCAGGTGAGGTCAACAACGGCCATGTTTCAATGTATTTCTGTAACCTTGATAAACATCATAACTCTGTGGTATTAGGATCTCAGTTGGTAGAGCAGTGTATTTTTTGTATCTACTTTTTTTTTTACGGGTTGGTTAGGTTTTTATACATTCATACAATTTATTTCAGGTCTTGAACACAGCAAGTGATTATTTCAGTAAATGAGGATTTATGAGGAGTAAAGTACAAGATGAATCAAAAGTAATTGATGTAAATTTTAAACAGATACTTAGAATTCCTGCTGTTCTCCCCGATCACCTCTGTAATATACCATATTATCATGTCCATGGGTGTCTTTTCTACATTCATAAATATGTATTATAACAGCCTTTGATTTACCATTTACACTGATTTGCAGTTAACAAATAAAGCTATTCTTGGCAGCTTGATTTGTGATAGCAAATTATGTTGTATGATATTGTAATAAATTGTACCTTTCAATCTATATTTATACTTTGATCCTGAAGCACTAAAGTTGAGTAAATATTACTTGCAAAAAACAAATTTACATGAAATTACCTTTTTTATGGTCTGTTCCATTTTTCTAAATTTGGTTTCTCGTGAATGCAAGCAAAAAATAAGTTATTCTACATGTGCATTATCATAGGTGCATAATTTATGTACTGTCCACTGGGCTGTTCCTATGCTATTGCAGGATTGGTACCGAAAAGATTAACTTTAATCTGTTGTTTTACAAAAAGATATTACAATAAGCATATGTGTAGCGCTCACCCCTGGAGGAGCCACTAAGTATGATATAGGGTTCTCCTACCTGTTTGCCAGCCACCGGCCCCCTTGCTCAGATCCAGCACACCGACACTCCGATACAGAAACAGGCTCAAGTCTTAGGGTCTTTTAGGGTATTTATGTGTAAGTTCAACAGGAGAGAGAGGGTTTAGGGTCTGTAGGATGCCCTTGGAATTGCTTCAGAGGACAGCTTTCTCCCCTAGCAACCGCTAAGGCCGATAGCACTGTGATCTGGTCCCAGGGACCAATAGTAGTAGTAATACTGCGAACCGCCAGGATGATCCAGTAGCTTATATGGAGAAGGTTAGCTATCTCTGGACGCAGGTAAGGACCCCTGGCTTCTTCTCGAACCAATACCTGGAATAGGGTGAGGGATCTCCCTTGTGGGTCCTAGACGGACGCTCTCACCAGCTCCTCTGCGGTACCCCTCAACAAGCAGACTCTCCCTCCGACCCAGCTTCCATCAGGTATTTTCCTCTTCAGGATCTGGAATCTCTGTGCCCTCGGCATCTGCAACTGCCAAGGAGCACTCCAGGTTAGTGGTAGTATCTTCTTAGAACAAGGCACCCAACACCTGCCACGTGTATGGGGGCCAAGCAAAGTTCCTATGGAGTCCTAGGCCTGCAGACCCCCAGCACCTGCCATGTGCTGAGGCCCAGGCCATTGGCTAGCATCACACAGACCTTCTAGGGTGAGGCCCCTAGGGGGAAGAGACATCTGCACAGTGTCCCCAGACCTTTTATTACCTGCCCTCAACCATGCCTCTGAGTCATCCTACTCAGGGCTTGGCTAGGGTCAGGTGCATAGTCCTAACCTGAGGATGGATCCTCCCTCACTGTATGCTATGGCTCCCTTTTCCTCAGTAACAGGAGGAGCAGTCAATCCAGCAGATTCAGGGACACCTATAGAATGCAGAGCTCGGCATAATCAGTATCTAGACTGGTTACAATCCAGGTATCTCTAAATTGAATAGCGACATTTTAGAGGGCGCTACATATGCATGGACTAGTAATGAGTATTACTCAGGATCGGCGCTAGTGTAAGGCAACATAGGCAGCCGCCTGAGGGCACTGGGGGAGGGGGGCAGAAAATGCACCATCGCCTCATGCTCAGTGCTCACTCTGGATTACTTTACCACTGATGTCACTTTACCGCGATTCTCCCCAACTTTCCGCCAAGTCCTGCACTGCTTCAGAGAACTCTCCCACTCGAACCTCTTGCATCACCTCTCCCTGCTGCCCTCTTATTGGCCTCAATGCGCCACTGTGGACTCCCCCCTTCCTCCTCGCCACTGTGTGACAGTCGCCGGCAGCCATTCAGGGGGGCCCGCCCTCATGTCTTTCACTCACCCCTGTGTAAAGTACGACTGCGGCTCCCCTTCCACCTCAGCCCGCCTCCTGCAGCCCATCTTAGCCACCATGCCCTACCAGCTCATGGCCAGGCACTCTCCGTCCGCCTCCTCTGTGACTAGCAACACTGAGGCGGTAACCCCCAGCCTCTCCACTCTGCTCCTAGCCCTCAGCTGCTCCATGGCGGCCAGAGTCTGCAGGAGAAGGAGCAGCACCTCCCCGGAGCAGAGAGACACTGTGTCCTCTGGGAGCAGAGGGAAGACCCTGGGAGAAGAGTGGCATGCTGGGACTTGTGGGTCAATATAGTGAAGGGAAGGGGATGCAATGTCTACAATGATTGCTATCTGTGGTATGCTGGGACTTGTGGTTCAACATGAGGGGAATACAAAATCTACAGTGAGTGCTATCCATGACATAGGACATGTGGTTCAACATGGGGGGGGGGATGGAAAGTCTACAATGAGTGGTAATTTTGGCATGCTGGGGCTTGTAGTTCATCATTGGGGAGTGCAACCTACACAGTGAAACTAGGTTCTGGCATGCTGGGACTTGTGGTTCAACATATTGGGGGCAGGGGAATGCAAAGTCTACAGTGAGGACAATCTATGGTATGCTGACACATGTGGCTCTATATGGTGGGGAGAAAGGGAAGGGGTGTGTGAAATTTATGTCATGCTGGGACTTGTAGTTAAACACAGTGGGGGACGGGGCAGGGGTGTTGTAAAGTTTACAATGGCTGTACAATGAAGCCAGAATCCTTAGCTGTACAATGAATCCAGAAACCTTATGCTAGTGAGTGCCGGCACAGAGCCGGCACTAGCATAAGGTTGAGGACGTGGGGGGAGGGGGCGGAAAAATGCACCTTCATCTGTGTAAGCAAAAATCCTTGCACCGGCCCTGGTACCACTGTAAAGCCCTGTGCACTTCAGTACTTTAAGGTCCTTGGATATGGGTCCCCAAAAACAAATGAAAACGAAAACCGTTTTAATTTGTTTCATCAAAGGAAACGAACGCGCACTAATACCACAGAACAAACGGCGGCCATAATGGGCGCCGCTCATTCAGCATGTGACATCACACACTCCGCATGCGCAGAAAAATGAATTTCTAAAAACAAATTTATGTATGCCCGAATATCGGTTTAGTATATTCGGGCATATATTAAATGTGTTATTTTGGATTCGGACAAACCGTGAATCAACTGATTTTCGTTGATTTGCAGGTTCGTCTGAATCCAAATGCACATGTCTAATCCCTAGTGCCAAGAGTAGGGTGTCAGCCTGGAGCTGTGGTTTATATGAAATGTTATCTGCTCTGTGATTTAGTAGAGGGATCCCTTGTCCCTTTACACAATCAACAATGCTACAACAGTTTTAAAATGACATAAACATCTGTATTTAAAATAATCTTCCATAAACAGCGTTTTTTCCTCTTCTTTTATTTTTCTTCCTATACCTACCCACATATGTATTCTACGTTTAACATTATACATCTTTTTGGGACTTGCTTTTTCTGGTCTTCCCCTTGACATGTTATGCCACGTAGTGGAGGTTTAGGGTAATGGCAGACTCCCCTGTTCTTCCTCAGTAACTGAATCAGTAAAGATTTACAGAATGAGACTGATGCTAGGAATCATGATAGATTTCCACACTGCCATTATATCTAGCAACGATTCCCTAAACTAAAAAAGACTGGTTACACTTTACAACATGCAGCGGTATTGAGGGTAACAAAGAGACATTTTTTTAAGTGTATGTCCAGCTGAAACTTTTTTCAGTTTCAGACAGAGTGGGAAAGTGTTCGAGTCCCCACTTATTGTCACAGTGGCATCTCCATCAGGAAATGTTGCAGATGTTCTCACGCTTCCTGTCTTGTGAATCTAGGACAGTAACTGTCAGGGTCGAACCCTGGATACACTGTGGGGTACCTAGAGGTGGTAAGAGAGGTGAGAGTAATGTAGGCCAACTGGAAGCCAGACTCAGCAGAGTAAAGGTCAACTGGAAGACTTGACAAGGGGGAATGTCATGATGCAGAGTAGGTAACATAAGATCCCCTGAGGGCCAGCCCATATTCTCCATAGCTCCTGATGGTGAAGGTGGATTTTGGTGCATGCTGACCCGAGGTCATGACTCCTAGGTTCACTCTACTCAGCTAACGGTGGATGTTGGTCATCAAGAGACAAGGCCAGAGGTCAGGGCAGGTTTTAGACCCGGATCACCAGGAGACAAGCTGAAAGTAATGAGAGTCAGGAGACACGGATACCAGTAGACAAGTCAAAGGTCAGGACAAGTGACAGACACGAATACCTGGAGGCAAGCCACAGGTCAGGACAGTCCTCAGACAGAGATATGAGATGATAAGCAAAAAGTCAAGACAGGCTCTAGTCATGGATACCTGGAGACAAGCCAAAGGTCAGGACATGTGACAGACAAGGATTACCGAAACAAGCCAAAGGTTGGTACAGCAATGAGAACGGCAGCTTTAAAACCAAAAATGGCTTAATGACTAGCTATGAAAATCATTGCTTGGGCAGCGAGCTGTGGGCTGCACTAAACTTAAATGGAGATTGGCCAAAAGCTGAGAGTACTGATTGGTGGAGAGGCTGCTTCATAATCACCAAGTGAGATCGGGACACAACTAAACCTGCTAGACCAGTGCAAGAGCAAGGTAGGAACAGGTCAGATGTAGTGGAACTACAAGTAACAGAACAGCCAGCTGCAGATCTGTGACGCACACCCTTGTGGAACTACAAGTAACAGATCATACGCAAAGCTGATCCATGTCAGTAATGACAGTAACTGAGGGGTAATTTCCAAAGAAGGCCTGGATAGATTTGAGAGGGTTGTAAGTCTAGCCAAATGTTTTGGTTAGAGGGTACCAAAGACTTTATTGTCTATCAGCGCTCAGTATCAGTGAACTAAAATCTCTCGCAGTTTGGGTAAACGCTATAGCATAAAACTACCAATAATGCACTTCCTGGCCTTTACACTGTGTCAGGTGGTTTAGAAGGGCCAATAATGTTTTTTTTTATGTTTCAGCCCCCCTATAAAAGTAAAGTTTCCCAGCAGCTTTTAGTCAGTGTGTTTTGGAGATAATATGGAGAGGTGAGTTTTTTTTAAGGAGAGATACATGCTACTATAGTGTTGTACACAGCACTGTATTGCACTCCATTTTGCAGGCAGAGATAGTTTCTGCTATGCAGTACTATATAGTTCTATACATCAGTGGCGTAACAACCGTGCGCTGGCCCCGGACGTAAAGCTGAAGGGGGGCGCCGGCCGAAAATTGCACTTTTGGCTAAACAAAAAATACAGGTTTAGTGTTTTAGGATTGGGGATGAGAGTTTTAGGTTTTATTTTTGGGGGGAGGTATATTTTAATTTTTTTTTGTTTATTGATAGACCAGCTACACAAACTTGTGACTGACACAGGCAAAGCTGCCTTTTGTTTGTAGTGGTACAATTTGGTGCACCAAATCACCACATTCTATAGTGCACCAAAGCACCTCATCCTTACTGTCCCTATTGCCATAGCTGATATTCAAGTTAGGAAATCCTATTTATTCATAATGTCAGGCAGGCGTAAAGAGAAAGGTAGAGGTTCTACACAATTAGCTAGTAGGGATTGAGCAGGCTCTGTTTCTGCAATGAAAAACTACACCACTTAGAAAAGGTGCTGCAGAAGAAACTCTTGGATGCATTTTCAGATAGTGGCAGGATCCCTTCTCACACCTATTGAGCTTTGAATCCTCGAGCCTCAAATTCCAAACATAGTAGATTGAGCCAGCTGTGGGCACCAGTCACAGGCAGCACTTTAACCATATGATTGCAGAATACTTGGGGTTCAGGGCTAATGCCTAGAGCACTGAAATAGGCTGTGGACCAGGAGACACAGAGCATGATTTACCCTGCAGCAAAGAGAAACCTGAAGCCTCTATTACCCCAATTTATACACATTTTATAATAATGTTGTGCTAAAAAATCATTGTTAAAGTGGTCAGATGTTTTGAGGCATTAGCAGTGTGTTAACAACATGTGGTATAATTAACAGGAGATAGGAAAATGATGTATGCTTAAAAGCTTGAGAATGCGTGTCTTTAAGCTCTAATGCTGAGGTCTAATGTTGTCT